GAGGATAAAAAGAAAAGAACAAATTATATAAATTAGATCTTACATGAGACTAAAATCCATAATTAATTTCTGAGCAAGCTAATGTTTGATATCATGTGATAACATAATGAGAATATTCATATCTGATTCATATATAAAACTAACAAGTAATACTATTATTTTCTTGTGTAATTTTATGGCAAGTTTTGAACAAATCATGAACATACATAAATATCATATTTATGTGGATTTATCATATTGAAATAATATTAATTTTTACAAAAATATATAAAATATTATATAGAAATAAACTGTATAAAATAATATTGAGTTTATCTAAAGTTTTAATATACTAAATATTTATTAATAATAATATAATAATGTACGATAAGTTAATGTACTTTTATAATATTAATAATATCAATATATTAAAACGAGAAATATGTCTTTAAGATTTCGGAATATTAATATTCACATATTGAATTAAAAGAGCGCGCGAATTTTACAAACGTAGTTATTTTGAAAGAGATATTAAGTTTAAGAAAGAATATTTTTTCTCCTTACATTAAGAAGTTATAAGTTTTATCTTATAGCGTTATTATTAACATTGATATAGCATATCGTTTATTTAAAAAAAAATGCTTGAAAAATATACATACATGCGGATTACAAGAAATGAATTTTTATTTATGTTTTTTATTTTAAATGAATATGAAGTGCTAAATCATTTTGCAAAAATGCAAAATAAAATTTTATTAGAAACCATTATTCATTGTATGTGCATATTAAAATGTTTACATTAGTAAATAACATTAGCATAATTAATTTATTTTGAATTGATAATTTTTTATCTTTGTCATAGAGCAACTATAAATAAGTAAAAAAATCATTGATATCTCTCTTTCTTAAGTATATTTTATTTGAAAATAAGTAATTATTTTTTTCTTATAAACATTATTGCATTAATTATTGTCAATACTTGAATAAAAAAATTTATGAAAATAGATACGTGAAGTCAGATTAAAGAAAAATAAAAAAATTATTTACAAAATTATTGTAACATCAGTTTTAAAATATACAAAAGTGAGTAGCTCAAACATTTCTCACCTTTGAATCATTTCTATCAAAAAACTTTAAAAAGAATGAAGATTTCAATTAAATTGAAGGTTTATGTATTCGAGAATGCGACAAGATTTTGTAACCGTTGAGTACATTTGGTGATATATTATACGGATTGAATATATATTTCTCTCTCTCTCTCTCTCTCTCTCTCTCTCTCTCTCTCTTCTCTTTCTCAAACATATTAAGATAATATCTTAATATTATCTGTAATATAATTTTCATGCGATGTACATTAATTGATTAGTTTTATCAATCACTTTCAAACTCTTTTAAAAATATATCTTCATGTTCTCGGAAAAAAATTTACATAATAAATTCATTTTTAAGAAGACGTATTTTCTGCATCTGTTTTAATAACAAATAAATACATATAAAATAATATATATAAAATAATAATTTTAATAAAGAAAATATACATTTATATATATATATATATATTTTTTTTTTTTGGAGAAAAGAGAGAGAGAGAGAGAGAAAGAGAGAATAATATGTCGTAAACTTACAATTAGATAATTCTGAAAATTATATTAAACAGGTTTCTCATATTTTTCTTATTATTTTTCTTATGCAAGAGTATAAAAATATGAAAACGAAAGCAAATATTATTAAAAACATATTTCAAATGATATAAGCTACAGTTTTATTGCTTACTTTCATATGCGAGGATATTTGTCTTGGAATTTTACGAGCGAACATGTTACAGACAGTTAAAATGTATTTATGTTATTTTCTCAAAATTTTCTACTGTTGTTTATTTTCACTATTTCCGATGATGTATATAAATCCATAACAGATGTAATTATATTCAATTATTTTCTAATTAAAATGCATTTTTATTTTGTCGAAGATGACAACTGTAAAAATACATTCCATTAAACAGAAGAAATTAAAATGATAGATGTTGTTTATTTTTTTTATATTAATAGGCATTACTCTAAAAATATGCAAACTTTTTATTAGTTATGTATTAGTTTTATTAGTTATTTTTTTACTATTTATTAGTTATTTTTTTTTTATTATTTTAATGTCACAGAAATATATTATAATTTTATCTAGAAACAAGAAGCTAAAATATTTATTGAAATTAATTTATTCAAGTTATAAATGTGAGCATATATTTCCTGTTATTTTTATAGAACTTATATGGAAAAAATAAACTTTTTTCTGAGAATTTTAATAATAATAAATAAATTATTATAATACACATTCAGTATAATAATACTATTAGAATAGAATTTTTTATTATGAGATATATATATATGGAATTTAATAAATTGATTTAATAAATAATGATATAGATTTAATTTTTAAACTTATAAGTATTTGTTTTATACACTCAATATCAGTCAATAGATGAAAACAAGTTCAAATAAAAAGATTCAAATAAAAAAAATCGTTAAGAAGGTTGATAAGAGATTTAATTTCGCTAAATTTGAAATTTTTTTCGAATTATATTCCAATGTAATGTTATTCATATAATATTACACAATCATAGTAGAATGATTTAACTTGTTGATGTACTTTCACTGTAATCGCATAATGAAATCTCCGCGCTTTTTTCGAGCTACGCGCACAGCTTCGATTTATTGTACGTCGCTATTAAAACAGAGGAAAAAGTCGGTTTACAGATGAGATGCATTTTACATACACATATTATGGATGTATATGAGTTATTTATGCGTGCGGAATGCGACCGGTTATATGCAAGCTCAGTAATACTTGACTGGCTATTTTACATCTCGAGAGACTTTCACCGTTCGTGTACTTTCACCATTGAAAATTAGCACCGGCTCTTTCGTCCATTCTTAGAGGAGACACGCGCGATAAGATCGTCTCTATTTCGGGCTAAATAAATTTTGGTGCAGGTAAATTTCTGCTTTACGTCTTACAACAGCATTTTAGAATCTAATATTTTTTTACCATTTTAATTTGATATTTTTTATCACTTTATCATTTTAAATTGCACTTCTACATGTAAAATCTTCTTTGAGTCTTTTTTGCACAAATAATAGGTCGAATCGAATTGGCAACAGGCATATTCTTTTATTTAATTCTAATAAATTACTACAATTCTAATAAATTAGACAAATATTTGAGTTATTTATCAAAAATAATAATTACTGGATTAAATTATATTCTTATTTAATTTATTAATTGACTCTTTATTAAAGATTTTTTCTATACATATCAAGGATAATTATTTATTATTATATATATTACTGAATTTATTATTATTGAATTAGATTTATATTTAATTCAAATATTTAACTTTGTATTATAAAATTTTTTACAGAATCTATTTAAAATACTAGCTATGTTTTTCTAAAACTTTACATAATAAATGCAGTAAAAATTAAATATTATATGACAATAGTTCAGACAGCACGAAAAGGCCAAAAGATGTCTAAAGAGGAGACCAAAAGACGTCTAAAGAGAAGGCCAAAAGACGTCTAGAGGACTTTAAGACGTCTTTAATTCATCTTTTAGCTGTCTTTTGGATATGTGTATTGTTTGGGAGATTGAGGTATTAGAGTTAAGATTTATTCAAACATATTAAAAATAATTGCTGTTCTACATAATAAAACATGTCTTTTAGAGATTGTTACTTAAAAATATTTATTATTTTATATTTGTGAAACAGTTTTCGCATAAATATTAAAATTAAAATACCAATTAGTTACCGACTATATTCTTTTAATTTATAGCTTTATAATATCTTTCAATTGTATCGACTCTTGATCTACAAATGGTCAAAAGGAAAGTTCTGCAGAAATATCAACAGTAGAATATGTGATTTCCGAGTAAAATGTTAGCTAAACAATTCTTATATTAAATATAACACTTTCTTTTATAGATTATATTAAAATTAAATTTAATCCGACTATATAAGAAATTTTGAAAATCTGAAATTCTGTCATACTAGTTATTTACGTTAGGTGTATATATATGTGTATATGTACACACACATACACACACATATATACATATATATTTATAAAATATTTACAATATACAAATATATTTATTAATTTTTAAAGCGACTAAATTGTACGATTTGTTATTCAAAAATGTTTTCTTTATGTGCACAATCCTGTTATAGAAATATAATAGAATTTGTGCACATAAAGAAAACATTTTTGAATAATAAATCGTACAGTTTAATCACTTTAAAAATTAGTAAATATATTGTAAATATATAGATATTTTCTTATTTATAATTAAAGAAACTTCTTTTGCAAATCAGAGTTTTATATTACATAACATTTAGCTTTCAACTTTGAAAACGATTTATATCAAAATAACATAAAAAATAACATAAAAAATAATATAATCATATTATAATTTTGCTCATATTGGCATTTACAAAAAAATAAATTTATTTATTTAATGCGAAACATTAGTAAATGATAAATAACATTGGTAAAATATTACTATATTTTATTACATTATTTTTGAAAGATGTGAGCAAATTGCTTAATTTTTATTTTAAGAAAGAAATTTAGCAAAAATGCCGTTCTAATTTTTTTTAACATATTGGAGAAATACAGTATATGATGAGATATTTTTATCTTATATTTTTATCCTATATTACATATTTACTTAGTAATATAAGTAAGATTTCCTCGAAGACATATAAAATATATTTCGTAATTAATGGAGAGGTGTAAATAAATAATTTAACTTTTATTAGTTAAAAATAATTAATTAGTGGAAGCTCTTCGTCAAAGAATGTTTTATTATTATTATTATTATTATTTTATATTAACTTGTAATTAAAATTTATCACCGATCTGATGCAGATTAAAAATTCTTTTAAAATGTCAAAAAATAAATATGATATGTATAACCGACGAGAAATCTAGAAATCTCGCTCTTCGGGGGAAAGAATAATTCATAAAAAATAATTTATAAAAGAATCGGGATATTTTGATTCACTATCCAACTAAGGAAAACAGTATTTTGTTAATTTTGGCAATTTCATTAGCGATTTAGTCTGTTTCCAGTCTGTTTCCACTTCTCGCGATATTTAACGAATACAAACAAACACAGGCATTCATATCAACACAAGAAAGTACGAAAGAATTCTCTATACATTTATAAATTCTCTATACATGTATAAAAGACACCATCTCAAAATCCAAAAAGAATGATAGTTCAGGCTTTCAAAAATTTCAGAAAGTTCGTACTCTTTTTCTTTCTCTTTTTCATTTCTTCGAATATCTTTTAAGTTTAGTCTCTGAATCTCGATTTTTTTCATATTTGATCACGCTATCAGAGGATAACAGTTCGATGCAACATGAGCGTTTTATATACGATGATTTACAGCTAAATATACATTTGAAAATTGAAGTCTCTTTGAATATTGGCTTGTCATCATTCATCAAAGCCTCGATTGTCGATGAACACGCGGTTTCTAAGGCCACTGTCCGAAATGTAACCGGTAGCCATTTTATATTGGTTCGCATATATCACACCGTTTTCATTTTCCTTGATGTCATCCTGAGAATTTTGCGTATCCTGCTTCTTATCGGCTTTGAAGGCTTTTCGTTTGCCCGATGTGTTTGCTGAATTCTTCTTCTTGTATGCTTCCTTATAGAAGCCACGGAAAAGGAAGTAAAACATTATAGCATGCATACCGATCCACCAAACAAAAGCCTTCGGATAATTGCACTCGATGAAGAGCAGCTGGAATGCGTGAATCATTACGAGAATGAACTGGATCATCTGCAGTGTCGTCAGATATTTCTTCCACCAGAGATACGGTTGTACTTGTGGGCCGAGCGCCGCCAGAAGATAATACGAGTACATTACTATATGTACAAAAGTATTTAAGAAACCGAAGAAGGTACTGTGACCGCCTAAAAAAATATAGATATTGGATTAAATCTATTTTACAGACGAAGATTAAATTTTTTTTCCTAATGTCAAAGCCAATCAGAGCACTTAAAAAATAGACTAATTAAAAAAAATAGACTTTTCATATATCTAAAATAGTAAAATATACATATACTTGAGTTTCAAGATGATTAATTAAATGTAAATAAAATAATAAAAAATATATTGAGCGCTTACCGGGAGTGAATTTAACTCCGAACCAAACGGACATAGGCATGCAGCCATGATGAATAACATGGAGGGTGCTAATATGATCATTTTTCTTCCTTAATACGAAGAAAATCGTGTCCGTAAATTCGATAAACTTGGAGATGTAGTACCACCAGCAACCTCGCGCCATTCGCATTGCGATTGGATTGTAGGAGTAATCGACCGGTTGACAACTGAAGGAGTAGTGCTTACCCCAACCGCCACTCAAACTCTGCAAAGAGACGAAATGAAAGATACAAAATATCTCAACAAGTTTTCTTCATGTTCGAAAATACGTATACAAACACTTACTTCGTGGAATAACCATGACGAAAATATTACTTGAAAGATATTGTACCATATCATCACTCTTCTGAGATCGAAGGGTTTTCGATTTTCCATCAGTTTCGGTCCCAAGACTTTAACGAAATAGGCATAAAATAAGCAAATTGCTAGTGTGGGGAATGGACTGCTCATCATAACCCAATCATTGACCCTCGGATCACTTTTGTTGTCCATTAAGTCTCGATAACCATCGTATATTATTTGTATTAACTGCGCCATCTAAAAGTAAAGTAATACTTCGTTATTGTTATGTTATTTGAATAATATTTTATTATTTTCATCACTTGATTTTTAGATTATATAAATATGTAACAATTCAATCTAGTTATATAATTGATACTGTTTTGCGCGAAAGTAGACAAAGAAATTAGAAAATAAAAGAAAAGTATCAATTTAATTTTAGTAATCTAATACCATTGATTTTATTATATAAGATTCTTAATAAGACTGTCCAGTATATTATCGATATATCGTTCATGACACATAACTATATTTAGCTATTTTTAACTGCTTGAGCAACAAACCCATATGGCACAGAAATATTGCAGCAACATTGCAGAAATATTTCTTTGCAAGATTGCAACATTGCAGAAATGTTGCAAAATGTTGCTGCAACGTTGCTGCAATATTGCAGCAACGGTAAAATGTCCGCTTGTAGAAATATTGCAATGCAATATTGCAGCAGTGTTACGGTGCAACGTATTTGTAATATTAAAACGCGTTTTACTACAAATGCAGACACCGTTTTAAATTTAATAAACTTTGAAAAAATAAAAAAATGTTTCAGAAAGATAGGAAAAAATGCCTTTAAAAAAATATCTATTAATGTTTTTATTAGATGTTTCTTAAATATTTATCTCAATAATATTACATACAATTATTTTACATACATTCGACACCAGAATATTTTAATACGTGCAATAAATGAATTATTTCCTATTTACTCATTCAATTAAGAAAAATCTATTTAATATTCTGAAACCCAATGAAGAATTCAGATTATTAAACAAATTATTTGTTTAATAATCTAGATCCCTCATTAGAATTCAGAATATTAAGTAAATCAAGTCAGTTTATCGCCAGAAATTAAACTGACACAAGACAAGAAATATAATTACTACATTAATCCTTTGTAGACCTTATATCCATCTTAGATGAATTCGAAGTTACGAGTTAGTTAAATTGGATGTCGCCGCGTAGCGGCAAGTAAAGAAACACATGTTATACATTTGGGTGTCGAATGTATGTAAAATAATTGTATGTATATTATTGAGATAAATATTTAATAAGATACATTTGATAAAAAACACTAATAGATGTTTTTTTTCAATGGCGGTAAATGTTTTTTTCCTATCTTTCTTAAACATTTCATATTTTCAAGATTTATTTATTAAATTTAAAACGGTCTGCATTTGTAGCAAAACGCGTTTTAATATTGCAAATACGTTGTACCGTAACATTACTACAATCTTACATTGTAATATTTTTGAGGGCGAACATTTCAACGTTGCTATAAGCTTGCAGTAATGTTGCAGAAACATTTCGCAACTTCCATGCAATGTTACAATGTTTCCGTGATAGGTGTATGCAATCTTTCGGTGCTGTATGGAAATAAAGTGTGCTACTAGGGATGTTATACATTTTTGCTATGTTAAAATGTTGCTGCAACATTGCCAAAGTAATATTACAAAATAATGTCTCTGCATTATTGCTGCAACATTACACTGCAGTGAGCAATATTGCAACATTGCAGCAACGTTGCAGCAAGCTTCTGTGCTGTATGGGAATAGCTTAAGTATATGTTTTAAACACGTGCGTAACATAATTATTGCAAAACTAGGAACTAGGAATAAAATAGCTGACATCGATTTTGACATTGATTATGATTTTTATACTATAGTAATTAAACATCAGTAATTTAATGGATTCAATGTTTTTATACCGCGATATTATGAACGCAGATGAAATAAATTATATTATTTTAATCGATTATAATTATACGAGTTGAAAGATAAAATGACAAGCACATCTAACATAAACATTTTAATTTATAGCAAAAATTATTTAAATTACACGACACAATATATTTAACGTTTTGAAATGAGTCTTGCTTTTTTGATTCAAGATTTAAAATACATAATATAATATAATATAATACAAGCACACTAAAAAATTTTATTTAGATAGACGCTTAATATAAAATAAAATTTTTTTTTCTAATATCGATTATATTATTATTATATTATTAATTATAATATCAATAGATCTAACACTTTGATTTCATATATATTATAAGTAAAATCTGTATATTAGCTACTAAAAAATAGCAATTTAGAATTATTATTTAAAACACATCGTCATGTCGCATACGTATATGACTTTTACGCACGACTTTTACCTTAAAATTTTTTTTTATCTCGATAAATTGCAAATGAAAGCAAACAGTTTCTGCATGTCAACGAACTCTCGACCTCGGCCTCGTTAAATCATGAAATACGCGACTTGATCTCGATTTACGGTGCAAATGACGATTGAGAATTTACAAATCGCGTCTCTCCGATGATGAAAGATTAGGGCTCTATTCTTTTATCTGTTAAAACTTGTTATAAATTCACCAACGATATTTTTATCATATTGTTTCACAATGTACGAAAAAGCGCATCTGTGCTATAATTTTTATTCTCGTGGGAAGTCTAAATCTTATTTCTGTAGTGTTAAAAAAATATAGCAATGTCAAGGGCAATATTGTATCTTATGTAATTCTTTTCGTAAATCGTCACAGTAATAATAAATAAAGATTTTACGAGACGTGACTCTTTTAATTTTCGGATATAAAATTTTTATAAATCGAATGAAAGACGTGATTCTCTTTTACTTCTGTAATTAAAATAACTGAAAGTTTATCACGTTCGTTTGCAAAAAATTTTAAACTAATAACGTCGAAAAAAATACATTTACATTTAGTTTTTTAAAAATATCTGTATTGAAATTATTAAATGTTATACTATAATGTTATGTATGTTTGTACTTAAATGTTATACTAAATTTTATACTATAGATTATGCAATTATAGAAACAAATGTTATAAAGTATATTCACACATCGAATTTTTTAATATTTCGATGATTAATTGTAATACGTAGTGTTGCAGTAATTATCACAATTTTATCTAATTAATATTATAGAATATTCTGCAAAAATTGATTTGCGATTGTAAGTGATTTTCTCATTATGTTCTCGACATTTTTGACGCGTTAAAAATACACATGTCAATATTTGATTTTTATTTTTTATGAAAAAGCTAATGCTACCTAACGCTATTACGTATGTAAAAGCATACATACATTGTATTTTTAGCGTGCAACATTATGACAAGCATTTGATTTATGATTTAATAGGTTTCTTCAAGATGCATCAAATAGATTTTACTAATTAAAGTTTCTTTAAATAAATTGTAATAGATCTCTCTTTGACGAGAATGTCAAAACGTTAATAAGTTTTAAGCAATTAACTATTGAAAATAAAGACATAATATAAAGAAAAATTATTTTCCGTAATTAATTTTTTATAATGATTTAAATCAAATTTATATATATGTGTGTGTGTGTGTGTGTGTGTGTGTGTGTGATTTTATTTTTCACACAGAATCAAATGACAAAGTTTTGAGGTGTAAAAATTATTAAACACACACTGTCGTTCATTGGTAGATTAGAAATTGATTTTTTCATGATTGATTAATTTAAACGACAATAATTTACACGATATCTACATTCGCGAATGCACTTGTTGCGGAATTTATCGGTCTAATTCCTTTTGCGATGTGTTTCGAAACTTGACATACCATTCATTCTCAATTGCTTCGATTCGACATTGTTTTTTTTTCTCCCTGATTCAGAAACTCTGGATTTTTAGGGAAATTTAAAAATTCGAGCATTCTTCTCGTGCCTTTCTCTGTGATTTCGCGATTCGACTGTCAAATGAAACTCATTACCCACGAAAAACGACAAACGTGTGCGGCGACCGGCGTCGCGACTTAGTCATGGGATTTCGCAATCTTCGCATTCGCTGCGGAAAGGAAAAGTTAAGCTGCTTCACCAAAGACTGTATGCGGCTAAATAACTCGTTCTTGCCGCGTAAAAATGCGGTCCTTCGCATGCGTCCTGGATTCATAGTCACACGATACTCGTCTCGTAATCCTGTTTGCTCCTCCGATGCTCGGCCGCATCATGACCGCTTGCACCTGCAGCGACTGTTGCGGTTAATGCCAAACGAATGTTTTAAAAGATACGCAATACCTAATCATAGGCGTCGACGTTTAATTTATTAATTATTGGGCGACGAAAAGAAGCTTATTTATGGCTAGGTGCATTCGAGTAGATATATGTGGTCAAAAATGATTTTTTCTTAATAAAATGTTGTATATATATCTACATGTATATGTTACCTATATTTTTTCTCTCTCTTTTTTCTTTTTATACTTAATAAAATTGTATTACCAAAATCTACAAAGTTCGTGATATGTGCTAAAGCAATTAAACATTATAAAAATTTGTATAATCACGTGCCTCGATGTAGAGTGACAGTTTTGCAACTTGTGCAATATCTGCTTTTTTTTAATACTTTCTTCTGTAATATTAACGAATTTTCTTGATTATAGGTTGCTCTTTTGTTATGTAAGTGATCATTAAAAGTAATAAAGAAATAGTTTTTCTATCGTTAACTCATTCGCAAATACTTTGATTCGTAAAACACCTTGGAAAGATTTCTCGTGATTGACGATCTAAATGTTACGGCTAATTTTCTGGGCACCGTTATTCCGAAACCATTTGTCGAATAATCTCTATCTCTTGACGGCGGAACACGTAATAGAATTTGCAAATGTATTCGCTTCGAGGCACGATCGTAAATCAAGTTGAAAAATGCGATAATCACGTCGTGGAATTTCCGCGATATTGTCTTTAATATAGTCGTATCTTTTTTACATGTACATATGCCTCTGAGAGTATCTTTTTTCCCATTCATATCCAAAGAGTTTGCCTTCGTTCGATCGCAAACGCGCGGACTCTGATCTCATAAAATTCAAATTACTCTTTTGTGCGTTTTCCCGATGATTATCGTCACATGTACTTCAACGAATATGCAAGATAGAAATATGAGAAAATGGACTTATAATGTAAACAGTAATGTTACACGCTTGCCTCGTGATGCAATTTGATTCA